AAAAACAGGACACAAGTTCATAGTACAGGGGCCCTGGAGTGGCCTGGGTCAGTCCCTCCACAGACAACAAGGTGGGAGGGCACCGGTTGTGGCTGGCGACAGCGCCTTTGAAACCCCACGCAGGGCCTGAGGGCTCTTTCACCTTGGGAGCGGGGAACAAAGCGGGTAGCTTAGCAAAGTTTGGCGGCGTGGGGTGGCCTCTGCGAGCGGAACACTGGTGCGCGGCCCGCGGGCAGCCCGGGCGCCTTTGAAGGTAGGACCGTCGCGCGGCAACGCGCGAAGCGGGCGGAAATGGGGCTGGTGTCCAACGCCCGGGACGCGGAGAACCGAGAGCCTTCTAGCACCATTGTCCGCCCAGAACCGCTTAACACGGTGCCGAACCCCCATCCCACACTGTCGCCCGGAGACGCGGCCCGGGGGGCCAGTCGGTGAGCGCGGGGAGGACCAGAGTCCTCGGTGGGGCTGAGGGAGGATATGAAGTCTCTGGGGCCGCGCCAGCCTCTGGCCTTTCGGGTCTGTTTCCTAGCCCGCGAAGTGGGGTCGTCCTGCCACCCTGAGGCTAAAGGGCGCCTGGCTGGTGTCTGTGATCTGACCAACCTGGGCCCACCCGGACTCCTTACAAGGTCACCGGCGTCCGTAGAACTGGCTTGTTCCGAGCACTTGTCCCTGACCACAGAAAAGGGCGGAAACAGATTCACCTCCACCCTTCTGAAACGAGAAAGAAAAGCACTGTTTACAGAGAGGAAGAAAGTTGCGCGCGTGTTTAAACAAACAACGCAGGGTAAAGATGAATCCTTGTGAGGCTTTCACAGAGGGGGGTTTCAGTCTGTGTCCCTGGCCTGTCCTAACTGGGCCCCGAATCGATTCATGCACTGGCGGATGGGTTAGTACTTCTTCATGGGGTGGACTTTTGATTAGAGTTCTGAGGGAGGCTGTCAGGAGACTTTTTCACCTGACCTTCTAGGGCTGTTTTACGGGAAGCTGCCTCGTTCCTTTCCAGGCTCTGGCAGTTGTTTTTGTAATCACCATCTTTAAACATGGTCACGTTACCCAGGCTTCTGCCTGTTTTCCCTCATCTCACACCTTCTCTGCTATCGATTGCCTGGTGTTTCATCTTTTTCTAGCTGCTGGATCCCCTGCAGCCTGGTGAGCGAGCACACTCTTTTGCACTTCAGTCACTCCCAGAGGCTGAGGTGGGAATGGGATGAGAATTTGCCCCCTAATCTGTTGAGGTCTCTCACCACCCCTCAGATCAGAGCATCAACATCTTGCCTCCAATCCTTCCTTAGACATGAGGAGCTTCTTGTTTTGTTTTGCTTTTAAGGTAAGCTTTGTAGATAAAGCATATTACACAAAGCAAGTGCACAAGTAATGTGTGCACAACTTTTGAATTTAGCCATTGTGAACATACCAAGTAACCAACTCCTCCCCGCAGAACATGTTTATTATTAGACTAAAGTGTTTCTCTTCAGACTATAGTTATAGGGCATTTTCTTTAGTTCCTGTGGAAAAGTGTTCGCCAGCAGGATGTAATGGTGTCTTGACTGAGCTGGTGTGTCTTGAAGGGCTGATGCTAAAAGGCTTGGAGTGTGCTGGGTGGTCCTTTGTGGCAGTACCTAGCTAAACATGTTGGGCCCCTCACAGTGCCTCTAAGTGTCTAATGGCCCTCTGGAGGGAGGCCCTGAAGAAGGGACAGGAAGAGAAATTGGGGCATCAGGTTTTCCTTTGTGGGCATCCACCAGTTGCCTGGGGAAGGGGCATTTGGGAGTCCTGTAGCTTGACTCAGGGGTACCCTTCACAATTAGAACTCACAGCTGTGAAATCCGCTCTTTCCCAAGCTGGTGAACCTGTGGCATGCAGCAGGCTGTTCATAGCATTGCAAGCTCCAAAAGGTTTGCCATCACTGGCCTAGGTCTTCCAGCCCCTGGTTTGGCCTACCTGCAGGAAAACAGGGCCACTGGATTATAGTCTCTTAAGTTCCTGGCATTTGTGTCTGTGTTAGGTCCCTCCCTGGCCTGTGTCCTTGTCTGTCCTTAAGGGGTTGGTGAACTCTGGACTTGGAGTTCCCGGGCTCAGTCCAAGGCTTGTGTCCCCCTGCTCAGGTGTGGGTTCTATCTTGGAGGACTTTGCTTGGGTGACTGCTCTGTCCTTCATGGAGGTAAAGAAGACAAATGTGAGCGTGTACACCCTGCTAGCAAGGTGGTCCTTCTGGTTGGCCTGTCGCAGGGACTCAGGTGGAAGAATGAGAAAACCTGCCCAACTCAGTAGAGAGTACTTACAAGGAAACACACAATCCCCAACCAGCTTGGGGAAAGGCTCAGGCCCTGCAGAATTTAATACTCACTGCTACTTGGGCCTTTGCTTGCTGCTTAAGGCCACTCTGAGGTAGTGAGAGGCCAAGAAGGCTGGCGTCTCTTCATTCTGAGAACATGACAGCATTTTCCATACCTCCCAAGTCCCATGCCCACCCACCCCACGTCTGGATGGCTACATGGTTGGAGAAATACATCCTAAAAGAGGGAAAATGCTCTCCATCTTGTAGCCCTTTCCTAAGTGGCTGTTGGGGATCCCAGGGAAACATGGGCACTGCAAGTATGGTGGAGGGTCGCAGTGAGGACAGAAACTCCATGATAGCTGAACCTGTTTCCTGACTACAGTGATAGGTGGATGCCCTCCCTGCCATGGAGGGGGAGGTACCTTCAGGAAGGGAGAAGTCCAGGTTCTGGGCTTTTCCCCAGGTACCTTCTGGGGTGCTGCACAAGTACCCACAGGCTCTAGCTATGTACATTCTTCTGGTTTCCTTGGCCCAAAAGATTGTTTTAAATTCGTGTTTTTATTCTTAAGAGCTTAATCAGTAAATCCTGGTTAAAATTGTAATTTGTGTTATTTTGTTGAGACTCCACACTTCAATGTACTACACATAAATAAACCTCTTTAGCTCACACCTGTAATCCCAGCATTTAGGAGGCTGAGGCAGGAGGATTGTTGCAAGTTCGAGACCAGCCTGGGCTACAAAGTGAGCTCAAGGCCAGC